TATTTACCTCTGTCCCACTTAGCCCATGCAAACCTGCTTAACTGTTCTTCCTTCTGCCTTGTTCTTTCATTCCCCTCCCCCCGTTTTAGTGTGGGTCTTTTTCTTAGTCTTTTACAATAATGGTCCTATGCAGTATTTCTCCTTTTGTGATTGACTAATTTCACTCAGCATAATATCCTGAAGTGAAATTAGTGAAACATCCATGTTATGTGGTGGCTTGCAGTTTCCTTGTTATTCTTCAAGGTAGCATAATATTCTATTGTGTGTATGTACCACAGTTTGTTTATCCATTCTTCCATTGATGGGCACTTTGGCTGTTGTGCCCATCTTTTTGCTATTGTGAATAGTGCTGCTATGAACATTGGTGTGCATATATCTACTCGTGTTATGGCTCGTATTTCTTGTGGGAAAATACCAAGTAGAGGAATTGCTGCATTGTAAGGTATTTCTATTTCCAGACTTCTGAGGAAACATCGTATTGCCTTCCAGAGAGAGGTTGGACCATTTTGCAATCCCACCAGCAATGCAGGAGCGTTCCAGTCTCTCCACATCCTTGCCAGAATTTATTGTCCTCTAATTTTTTTTATCTTTGCTGTTATTGCTGGTGTGAGATGATATCTCATTGTTGTTGCCTCCATCTCAGGCATCACTGCTTCTCTTGGTAGGGTCCTGCTCTCCGCTTTTCTCCCTTGATGGTCGCAGGGACCTCCACTCGTAGACTGCAAAGTTAATCACTCCCCTACTTGTCCTCTGTTTTTTTTTAAATCTTTGCTGTTACTGTTGGTGTGAGATGATATCTATTTTTGTAAATCTCTTTTGGTTTCTTGTAGCAATGTTTTATTTTCTTTGTATAGATCCTTTGTTTCTCTGGTTCTATTTATTCCTAGATATTTCATCATTTGGGCAGCTAATGTAAATGTTTTTCCTAATATCCTTTTCAGCACTGTCATTGTTACTGTAGAGGAATCCAACTGATTTTTGTATGTTGATCTTATACCTGCCACTTTGCTGAATCTTCCAATAAGTTCTGGTAACTTTTTTACTGAATCTTTGGGGTTTTCTATGTATAGGATCATATCATCTGCAAATAGAGTTTTATTTCCTCTTTTACCAATTTGGATGCCTTTAATTTCCTTATCTTGCCATAAAGCTCTAGCTAAGACTTCCAGCACAATATTAAATAGGAGTGGTGACAAAGGGCATCCTTGTTTGGTTCCTGTTTGCAGAAGGAAGACTTTCAGTTTCTCTCCATTGAGAGTAATGTAGGCTGTTGGTTTTGTATATATGCTCTTGATTATGCTGAGGAATTTCCTTTCAATTCCTACTTTGTGGAGTGTTTGTTTGTTTTTTTTATCAGGAATGGGTGTTGGATTTTGTCAAATGCCTTTTCTGCATCAATCAATATGATCGTGTGGTTCTTTTCTTTTTTCTTGTTTATATGGTGGATTGCACTGATTGGTTTTCTAATGTTGAACCATCCTTGCATTCCTGATATGAATCCCACTTGGTCATGATGTATTTTTTGTGTTGGCTAGGATTTTGTTGAGAATTTTTGTGTCTATGTTCATGAGGGATATTGATCTATAATTTTCTTTCTTAGTGACATCCTTCCCTGGTTTTGATATGAGGGTTATGCTTGCTTCATAAAATGTATTAGGAAGTTTTCCACCTTCTTTTATATTCTGGAATAATTTGAATAGAATTGGTGACAGCTCTTCCCTGAATGTTTGGTAGAACTCACCAGTGAAATCATCTGGACCTGGACTTCTTTTGGTTGGGTTTTTTTGATGACCTGATCAATTTTTGTTATGGGTTTGTTCAAGTCTTCTAATGCACTCTGTGCAAATTTAGGTAGGTCGTGTTTTTCTAAAAATGTATTCATCTTCTAAGTTTTCAAATTTGTTGGAGTAGAACTAACTTTTCATAGTATTCTGTTATTATCCTTTTGATTTCCTTTGGTTCTGTTGTGACATTGCCCATGTGGTTTCTAATGTGAGTTATTTGTGTCTTTTCCCTCTTTCCTTTTGTTAGGTTTGCCAATGGTCTGTTAATTTTGTTAATCCTTTCAAAGAACCAGCTTCTTGTCATGTTGATTCTTTCTACAGTTTTTCTGTCTTCTATCTCGTTTATTTCTGCTTCTATTATTTCTTTTCTTTTCGTGAGTGTGGGTTCCCTCTGTTGGTCTGTTTCTAATTGTTGGAGATGCTGTGTTAATGTGTTAATATTCTTCTTTTGGGATGTGTGCATTTGTTGTAATAAGTTGTCCTCTCAGCACTGCTTTCACCATGTTCCAAAGATTTTGGTATGCTGTGTTTTAGTTCTCATTTGTTACTAGGAACTTTGTGAATTCACATTTTATTTCTTCTTTTACTCCGTTGCTTTTCAGCAGGATGTTATTCAGTTTCCATGTATTTGACTTTATTTCCTTGATCTTCCTATTGTTGATTTCTAATTTGATAGCACTGTGGTCTGAGAACTAGCTTTGTAGTATTTGGATATTTGTAAATTTATGGAGATTTGTTTTGTGAACCACTCCCCTTGATTAACCCACAAAACTATCAGCAGTATTTTGGCACAGAATCTATTGTTCTGACTCTGATTAAGGACTATTTTTAAGGATCCTTTCATGACAAATATGTTCCATCTCGAATTAGATGTCTAGGATTTTACAGAGTAGCCAGGTAGGCTGATACTAAGTCTGAACTTTTCTGAGTGCCTTCAGCCAATAAATGAATCTCTCTCTCTCTTATCCTTGTATTATTTCTATGAACCCCAAGGAAAATCACCTTTCTCAGGTCATTTAACAATGACTGATCTGGTTTCACTTTGACAACTCCAGAAAGAGTTGCTTGGGAGTCCCAAGGGTATCCACTGTGCTTGCTAGGCACACTCACTGACTTTTGGGGGAAGTTTGTTCCAGAGCATTCATTGTTTGTCATCTTCTAAACAGAACCATTGGCCTACACTAGGCAGCTGCCTCTCTGAGAACTTCAGTGCCTCTGTGGTCAGTGTCCCTGCACCGTCTTCTAGGGGACGTGGAATCCCACATCAGTCACCTCTTGGGGCCTTCTTTTAAAGGCAGCTACTCCTGTTTGGCCCAGATAATACATTGCTGTTGTTCCTGTTCTTGTTAAGTGCCATCAAGTTCTGACTCAATGTGACCCTGTATAGGGTTTCTCAGGAGCAGCTGGTGTATTCGAATCACCGACCTTGTGGTTAACAGTCCAGTGCTTATACAACAGCACCAAACCAGGACTCCAGGTAATACATTAAGCATTATCAACTTGCACTCTAAGCAACCTTTTAAAAAAATGCCTTTTTATTTAATGGAAGCTTTTGGCTGTAAAAATACAGATATTACATTTGCCACTTCCGCATTTTTCACATGCACAACTAATAAAAAACTTAATCAATTATGTTGTGCAACCATCACTAATATCTGATGCCAAATTCTCCATCCCCATAAACAAAAGTTTGCTTCTTCCTAAAAAATGATTCCCCCACTTTCTCATTCCCCCACCCTTGTTGACCACTATTAAACTGATTTTTATAGATTCACCTATTCTAGGTATTTCATTTTAGTATGCTCCATTTTTTTTAAAGTCAGCTTTGCTAGCTAGGGTGACAGAACCAACAGGAAATATCGACAGATTAGATACACTGTTGTGGTGGTGGTAAAGTGCCGACAAGCTGATTCTGATTTATAGAGATCCTACATTGGGTTTCCAAGGAGCAGTTGATGGGTTTGAACTGCCAACATTGCAGTTAGCAGGCCATTGCTTATCCTTCAGTGTCAAACCAGGACTCTGTAGATGTGTGCATTTATCTATTATATTGTTGTTGTTAAGTGCCGTGGAGTCGGTTCCGACTCATAGCGACCCTGCACAGGGTTTCCGAGGCTGTAAATCTTTACGGGAGTAGAACGCCTCATCTTTCTCCCGCGGAACCGCTGGTAGTTTCGATCTGTTGACCTTGCGGTTCACAGCCTGATTCGTAACCACTACGCTACTTTTAATTAAATACATATGTATGTTTATTTACCATCCATTCATTCATATATTTATCACCTATCTATAGATAGAATTAATTTTAAGGAATTGATTTACTAATTCCTTAAATTAGCAGGGTTGTAGGGACTAGCAAGTCCCAAATTCTTACATCAAGCAGAGCCTTGGAAAGTTTGGCAGTCTTGTGTCTGAAATCCGTAGGCCAGGAGACAGGCTGGCAATTCCAGAAGAATGTCTGTTTGTAGTCTTAAAGTAGAATCTTTCTTTCCTGGAGAAAAAAACAAAAGCAAAATCCACTGCCACCCTACCAGGAACAGAGAGCTCTTCCTCAGAGCTGCTGGTGGATTTCAACTACTGACCTTTCAGTTAGCAGTCCAGAGCTTATTTTACAGTGTCACATCAGGATCTCAAGGGTCCTTATAGTAGTTGAAAAAATCAAAGTGGCAAGAAGCCACTATCACTGAGTCAATTCTGATTCACACCAACACTGTAGAGGGTTTCTGAGGTTGTACATCTTTACCAGAGCAGATAGTTTTCACTCTTGTTGCCATCAGCTGGTTTGATAAGGCCCACTTACATTATAAGGAGCTCTGTAGTGTAGTGGTTACAAACCGGGCTGTGAACTGCAAGGTCAGCAATTTGAAACTACCAGCTGCTCCATGAGAGAAAGATGAGGCTTTCTGCTTGTGTAAAGATTTACAGCCTCGGAAACCCTGTACAGGGTCGCTATGAGTCTGAACCCACTCCACGGCATATAACCACCACCACCAACCACCTACATCATGGAGGGTGATCAGCTTTATTTAAAGTCAATGGATTTAAAATGCTAATCACATGCAAATCACATGCAAATAGATTCACATTAATACATAAAGTTAACCATTACAACTAGTCAGTCACCTTGCCATTGCTTAGACAGAAATGGAGTAAGAATATAAGACAGGAACATCTAATAAGGTTTACATAAATGGAAGCACCCAGAGGACAGCTGAGATGCTCCACTGGGAACTGGGAACATGCTGGAGAGGCAAGATCCTGTCAGGAGCTGCAGAGCAGCACAGCTTCCGTCACAAATTGAGTAAGACAATCCCAGGCTACAAACACCAGCAATTTATCACATCCACACACATAAGGAATTAAAGTACAAGAATCCTGAACAATGTGGAGAAGGACTCAGGGCACTCCCTAAAGCTGAGAAGGGGAAGGGCTGCTAACGTTCAGCATGTTCCAGAATATTCCTCACATCCCAAATCATGTGCCCGCTGTGGTTGTTGTTGTTGTTAAGTGCCGTCGAGTCGGTTCCGACCCATAGCGACCCTGTACAGGGTTTCCGAGGGTGTAAATCCTTACGGGAGTAGAAAGCCTCATCTTTCTCCCGCGGAGCGGCTGGTAGTTTCGAACTGCTGACCTTAAGGTTCGCAGCCCGATTCGTAACCACTACGCTACCAGGTAGGTAGTGAGTGATAATGTTAGCTGCCTTCGGGTTGGTCAGTGTGTAACAGGATCACACTGTTGTGATTCATATGGTTTCCACTGACTGATCTTATGGAAGTCAATTGTCAGGCCTTTTTTCCTAGTGAAACTGGCTCAGCATCATCACATAAACCATTACTAACAGATGGGGAGTAACTGCCCATGACATGCATTGGCTGGAAACAGAATCTGAGAGTCAGGAATACAACCACTGAGCCACCCCTGCCCTTGAAGTAAGTGATTCCACCCAAACACAAATCTTAATGGGAACAGACAGCCCTTCCTCAGAGCTGCTGGTGGGTTTGAACAACTGACCTTTCAGTTAACAGTCCGGCGTTTATCCTACAGTGCCACACCAAGACACTAGGGCTCCTTATGTTGTTTTTTTTTTATGTGCTGTGGAGTCAGTTCCAATTCATAGCGACCCTGTACAGGGTTTCCGAGACTGTAAATCTTTATGGGAGCAGAACACCTCATCTTTCTCCCGCGGAACAGCTGGTAGTTTCGAACTGTTGACTGTGAGATTAGCAGCCTGATTCGTAGCCACTATGCTACCAGAGCTCCTTAGCACTACTTATTGTTGTTGTTAAGTGCCGTTGAGTCGAATCCGACCCATAATGACCCTGTATAGGGTTTCTAAGGAGCAGCCGGTGAACTTGAACCGCTGACCTTATGTTGTTGTTGTTGTTAAGTGCCGTCAAGTCGGTTCTGACCCATAGCGACCCTGTACAGGGTTTCTGAGGGTGTAAATCTTTACGGGAGTAGAAAGCCTCATCTTTCTCCCGTGGAGCGGCTGGTAGTTTCGAACCATTGACCTTAAGGTTCACAGCCCGATTTGTAACCACTACGCTACCAGAGCTCCTGTTGATTCCGACCCATAATGACCCTGTAGAGGGTTTCTAAGGAGCAGCCGGTGAACTTGAACCACTGACCTTATAGTAGGTGATAAAAAGGAAAAAAAGCCAAAAACCACAGCCATCGAGCTATCTAGTAGATTCAGGCTCATAGCAACCCTATATAGGGTTTCTGGGAAGCAACTGGTAAACCTGAAATGCCAGCATTGCGGTTCTAACTAACCTTGCAGTCCAGCACGTTAACCCACTGTGCCACACCAGGACTTGTAGTAGGCATTACATTTCTAGTTTCTTTATGGGGTTCATTCAGCTAGACTATTTGTCTACCCTAATAATGTGAGTCCTGGTGTGGCACTGTGGGTTAATGCGTCAGACTGCAAAGTCATTTGAACTGCAAAGTCAGTGGTTCAAGCTCACCAGCTGCTCCTTGGAAACCCTATACAGGGTCACTATGGGTCAGAATCGACTCTACTGCACTTAACAACAGTAAGCTGAAGTTGTTCTTGCTAAGTACCGCTCAGTCAGTTCCAACTCAAAGCAATACTCTATAGGGTTTCTGAAGAGCAGCTGGTGAGTGTGAGCTATCAACTTTGTGGTTCAAACCAACCTTACAGTCCAGTCCTACAGTGCCACACCAAGACTATATAAGAGGGGCAGAAAAATATTCTAGCTAAATGAAGTCCTTAAGGAAACTAGAAATGCAATGGTTTCAGGTGCTCACTGAAAACTTCTTCAGCTTGTCACCCAGGAATAACAGTTCATTTCATTTCCTGAGTAGAGTCACACATCCCTGAAAGAGGGTGGCGATGCAGATTAAACAGTTATCAGATACTGGCCATCCCAACAAGAACCATTCTTTCATTGGACAGCAGTTTAGTCATAAGGAGTTTCAGTTAAGGCTGGTTCACAATTACCTTCTTAACCAACCCTCCTTGCTATTTGCTTAGAGACACTGACTGGCCATTCAGTTGAGCAGGAAGCGGGCTGTGAGTGTTTAGCATTACAGCTGTGATGATGAAATTGTGAAGAAGATCCTCTCAGTCAAAAAGTGCACCCAGAGATAAGGCTTATTTCCACGGAATCCCGCGACTCAACTGCTGTTTCTGATCACACGGCAACCTCTCCTCTCAGTAAGTGGGGATCAAACGCTTGAGTCACCACATAGTAAACAATCATTCTTTTTTTCTGTACCATTTGCTCTAACAAGAACCTCTGCTCCACCTCCTAAAAATTTCTTTCTCTTTTTTTTCCCCCACTCCTTGGAGAGGAAGGATAGGAAAAGCAAGAAATAATGATTTATACTATCTTTCAAAACAATGAAAAAGGGGAAATAAAACCTCTTATGATTCAATTATTAGTAGGGATGGGACTAAAATAATGGTGCTATTAAACATGTACCAGACAGGAGTCCTCAATTCTGGTGATAGCATTTCAATTCTTGTATTTTGGTTAAGTAGTAACTTGAGATGTACAAATTTGTGACGTGGTGAGTCACATTAAAATGGCATCTAGAGTTTTTGTTAATACTCATCTGAGACATGGGAGTCCTGGTGTAGTGCTGTAGGGTAAGCATTGGACTACTAACTGAAAGGTTGGCGGTTCAAACCAACCAGTCGTTACTAGGAAATGCTATACCCTGTTACTATGAGTTGAAACAAACTGGACGGCACTGCACAACATCATCATCTGAAATGTATTTCTAACAGCACCATATGTTTTACAGTATTAAAATGAGATCATATATTCTGCCAAGATTTCTTGGAAAATATTTAAGTTAGCAGATAGTACATAGACTGTAATAAAACCAGTTTGGCTAAGATGTCTAAGAGTTCATTTAAAAAGTTATAAATTAAGAAGTGACCAAATAGGATTTGGCTACACTGAATTTAAGTGAAGACATTTCTGTTTTTTGCTTCTCCTGAGGGTTCTGAGATTTACAAGATTGTTTTGATTTTATGTTGTTGTTAAGCATCATCAAGTGGGTACAGTAGAAAACAGAAAAAGTTGCTGAAACATCTATCTTTGTTTTGCATTCACAGATTTAATTATTTACCCAAAGTGAAGTAAAAATATATTTCCAGTGTAGATAGAAGAAATGAAATGGAACAGCAAGAAAAACAAAATGGAAGGACAAAGAAAATAAATGAAGAAGACAGAAAGCAAGAAAAGAAAGTGAGATTAGAGAAAAGAAAGGAATGGCAAAAGAGAAGTAAATTAGAATATTTTAATACCTCTTACCTCCAGGCCGCAGCCTAAAATCCGTATGTTACTATACCCGAAAGGTCGGGGGTTTAAACTCATCAAACGCTCCTTGGAAACGCTATGCGGGGTCATTAGGGGTCACAACTGACTCGGTGGCAGTTAACAACAACAGCAACATACTACTATAGCTGTACAGCGTTATCTAGTTGACACCTGCTTTAATAAATTATACAGAACTTTTCATTATCTTTTATGATTTCTATTTCATGTGAAAAAATCATGCCCTCTTTCATAGTTATTGGAACAAAAAATTAATTAATGTAGTTACTTGTTAAAAGCTCACATTTCAAAACATGATAAAATTTTGGAAATCAAACTACCTCATTTGTTTACATTACTGGAAATGGTGTTTGGGGAACTTTTAAGGCAAGATTTCAAATGTAGCGTATCTTCCCACAAACGGACCTGGCTTGACTTACATGCTTACCAGTTTGCTGTGCTCCTGACCTAACGTGTCCTTTCACTAGGTTTTACCGAACGTAACTGGCTTTACCACGGATTATGAACTGATTCATGTTGGTTCTATGCAGGGCATGTATACTGAGTGTGATACTGTGCTAGGTGTTTGGGCTACAGATGAGCCGGATGTGTTGCTTACCCTGTACTACTGAATTCAAGTCAGACATACGAAGATCCTCTGGACACAGGTAAGTCTTGAATACAGGATGACAAATCATGCCATGTGTAATTAGCAAGGAGACCTTTAAAGATTGAAGTATTTGTAGAAAACCCACCCCCCACCCCGCCCCATCCATTTTACAAACATTTGGAGCAGCAGCACCATCTTTAGCTAGTTGATGGCGTCTGTGGCAATATTTGGAACTCAAATTCAGATAAGTAAAACAAAATTCAGTCAAAGTAAAAAAAAAAAAAAAAAAAAAAACAGTGCATTATGCTGTTGTTGTTAAGGTCTATCAAATCGGTTCATATTCATAGCGAAGTTATGATATTTTTATGCATAATTTACCTAGTTAACCATGAAACTTGCATTGTGCACCTTTGTTTATTTGTTTCCCATCTCCTAAGAGATAATTTTTATTGTTGTTGGTTGCACTGTAAGGAAGAAAAGAGGAAGCAAAAAATAAGTTCTTTACTTTTAAGAGCACTGGAAAGTAGACAGTCTAACAGAGCATGAATCCTCCCAGTTGCTAGTCAATGTCTGTCCATAGAGGGTTGAATCTGGAATTAGGTGTCACTACAGTTGACTCAAAAAGGTTCTGAAAACTGGGTTGCAAATACAATTTTGTACATAATTCGAATTCCCCAGCCCCGTCCCCCAAAATAAGTTTAAAGGAAAAAGAGGGGAAAATATTGATATTAACAAGCCCAAACTTCAGTAGAATTTGACCCATTCTCAGGAACACTGGGGAAATCCAATGCAATGGTCATAAGTTTACACACCTAATTTTCTAAAGATATCTGAAATACAAGAGAATGTGTCTTATTTTTTTCCAGATTTCAAAGAATTTAACACCTACTTACTAGAAGCTACAAGGGTACTCAAGGAATTTTCCATTGACTTGATCAAGCAAGTATTTCATGATCTCTTCTGCAGGTCACGTGTGTATTCTTGGCAGGCTTAGGTAAGAAACATGTGTTTACTTCACCCTGCTTAAATGCAGTTCTATTTTCTCAGTGTGATGATTTTCTTATGGCTATGAATTGTAGTTGTGGGAAGGAGAGGTACTAAAACACATCATTTTGATCAACTTTTTGCTAGTGAAATAGCTCTTTCTTGTACTATGAAATACTATCCTGTAGACATCTATAGATTAGGTATTCATTTTGGATGAATGGGATGGCTCCGAGATCTTTTGGTTGTTTTTCTAGCTGAGAGGATTGCTGTAGTAGGGATCAGAAGTATTATGGGGCCATGGGTCAAGATTGGGAGTGTATTCAGGACACAGAGCAGAGATTATATACATTCATAGAAAGCGCAGGTCAAATGCTGAAGTCTCAGTACTATACAAACCAGTACAGAGTTCATCTGGAATTCATCCCTCCCCCACAAAAAAAGATTTATTTTTGTAATATTGAGGTATATGCCATTACTTTAAAACTCTAGCTTGAGTCTCTTGTGTTGTCTAAATGACAATTTACTTCTTTCTAAGATCGCCTTTTTTAAAGTGGAAAATATCGCAGTGAGAAGAGAAAAAAGTTTAAAGCTGGTTCACGTAAAAATGTGAAAAATCAAAAACTTTTGAATGCGTACATTTAAAAAGATTTCTGTTTTCAGCAACTGGTGGTGGTGGTTATATGCCACGGAGTTGGTTCTGACTTAGCAACCCTGCATATGGTTTCTTACCCTGTAAAGCTTTACGGTAGTTTTGAACTGCTGACTGTGAGGTTAGCAGCCTGACTCGTAACCACTATGCTAGCACAGCTCCTTATTTTCTATGTGGCATATTCTGGGGAAGAATACTCAGTTAAATAAAATATTCACTTATCCTGCCACTGAGACATTCAATAATGCTATCATGTACTTCACCAATGTAACTGCAAGCATAAAATATGGTTATAACAGATTATTTTCTTCACTAATCAGTAAAAATCACAAGGGACGATCAATTTTGAATATTTTTTTCTGACTGAGAAGTTTTCCGATTAATGAAAACCAATGCAAAGTGAAAGCATATTCAGTATTCAGAAAATACTGACACTTCAAAGACACCACCTTCATAATTTAAATTAAGACATCATTTTGTTGTTGCTTATGGGTTTTTTATGCTTCGTATTCAGGTTTAGCAAATTGCTAATATTGTACCTTTAACTTAATAACAATTTCCCTTATTGAAAAAAATTTTTTAATTAGGGTACCTACTTTTGCTGTCATTATTGTTATTCTATAAATTAATTTTCTGTATTGTGTAGAATCATCATAGAGAAACAAACAGGTTTTTTTTTTTAATAAAAACTGTGGAAACTAATAATATTTAATTTATTTTAAAAAAGAATTGATTCATGTACTGTTTCCTTCCTCAATGTTGTGGCGTTTTATTAATTTCATAATTGTAACTAATAACAAACCAAGAGTATTTCATGCTAACTCCTAAAGCTATCCAATTTTAGCCAGGATCTATCTCCTGTTGTTCTATCAGAATTAAATTTGGAAAATTCCCAATCATTTTAATAATATTTATACACTGAAAATGACATTGTTTTGGTTAGTATCACGCAGTTGACAGATTTTACTGTCAGAAGACCTGAGATTGGATCCAAATTCTTTTCTTTACCCGTTGTTCAAAGACAATGGGTAAAGAAAAGTTGTCTTTGGACAATTACTTGACCCCTCCAACTCCTCTTCATTATAAATTAGATAATAACCCTCAGATAATAGTTGGATCATGTGACCCTTACTGAATGATGAAGAGGAACACGTGGGACAGTAGGAAGAACTGCTTTGTAAAACTGAGAACAGCACACAAATATTGGAAGCCAGTCATGTTACTTGTTCTTTGAAGTTAAGTTCATAAGAAACATGACTTTTGAAATTTACTGCAGAAAACTCTCGAGATTTCTAAACTACAATTCCCGGCAAGAGATTTTAAACTCTTCTCTTAGACATTTAAAACAAGCAAGATGCCAAGTCTTTACTTACTCTAACGATGAGTGTGGTTTATCAGTATTTTCACAGTGAAACACTGAGTTATTTTACATTTCTTCACTAAATTCATTTTCATTCCTCAAATCTTTCAGATTGGGAATTTTATTTTCTCCTGGTCGATACTCATATTTTTTAACGTGTTTGGTTTCCTGTTCCCATTTGAGTTCATCAAAACATCCAGTCTCCCCAAACTCAGTGTTGTTCACTGCCTTCAAGTTAGCCCATGAATTATGTAGACCCCATGTACAATGGGATTGTGCAGTTGTGACTATAGGGTTATCATAGGCCAATTTTTCAGAAGCAGATCATGAACTGCCAGTAACCAAGCCTAGGTATCTCTGATGGGAGGCAAGGATTCTACCACGGAATTATACTATCCTTTCAACTCACAGTACCACAGGTTTATTCTAGCTTTGTAATTCAGAGTTTCTCTTTCCCACATTAGACATTGTTTAAGGTTTAAGTTTCTTGTTGGGTTGGCTCATATTTAAATACTTGTTAATGATGTTAATTTTCAGTTTTGTTAACTGTACCTAATCCCCCAAACTAGAACCTAAACATATTGCCCTCGCGTCAATTCCAATTCATAGCAATCCTGTAGTGCATAATAAATATTTCATGAATTCTTGTTGTCATTAAGTGCCACTGAGCTGGTTCCGACTCATAGCAACCCTATATAGGGTTTTGTAGGAGCGACTAGTGAGTGAGCTTGAACCACCAACCTTGCGGTTCAAACTGACTTTGTAGTCCAGCGTCATTAGCCCGCAGCGCTACACCAGGACGGCTCTGAAGGGGCTCCAGGTCTGTAATCTCATATGGAAGTGGACTGCCATACCTTTCTGCTACGGGACAGCTGATGGGGTTGAACTACCAACCTTTTAGTTAGCAGTCAAGCGCTTAATTACTGTGCCATCAGAGTTCCTTCTCACTGTGTCTGTAATACTACTCAGAGGTATGTTCTGGTCTCTGGAGGACTGTGCTCAGATCTCCCGAGGACTGTGCTCAGATCTCCCGAGGACTAGCAGTCCTCTACTATTTACTTTGGAAGGAAGAGCTGGCAATCTGCATACATGAAGATTACAGTTCGGAAAAGCCTATGGAGAAGTTCTACTCTGTTACATGGGTTTGCTAGGAGTTGAAAATTATCTTGACAGAACCCAGCAAGAAAAATTTTACTGTCCTCTCTCTGTATGTAGCTATCATGATTTGCTGACATTTCAGTTTGCACCTCAGACCATGGCTCTGCTTTGCAAGGGCAAAGTCCATGACCTGCTCAGATTTGCTTTCTAGTACATAATAGGTATTTTGTGAATGTCTGTTAAATGGCCAACATTAGAAAGTAGCTGTCATCAGATGATGTGGTTTTTTTCTCTCTCATTTCTGTAGGGTCTCATCATCATGCTGGCTGCAATCCTGATTCTTTTTGGGGCCACAGCGATATTGCAAGCAGACTTAATTCCTGATACAAAATGTAAGGGGCTTTGAATCAAGTCAAGGATGTTCCTATTTTAAACAGAACAAACATAAATAGGAGAGTTTTCTTTTCCTCTAAGTAAACCCTCAAATAAATTAAAAATCCCTTTATAAAGAGATGGCAAAATATTCTTATCAGAATTCGAACTGTAAAAATGCGGTATTTTCAGAAAGTAAATTTGCCTGAACAGTGAGTATTACACTGCAGTGAGAATCATCTTATAAGTGGGGGTGTATCGGCACTAGGGAATGAGCCAAGCTAATGACCACATTTGGAAGGTCTTTCCATGCAAGGCCATGGTTAGAAGATCTTAGGACGGAAGAATAAGACACTCTCACAATATTTTGCTTCAAAACATGTTGACCTATTAAGCTTTGTGTGATAACAGAGTTTAAGAAGGGCAGTCACATGGTTCCTATCCAGTGCTGTTTAATAGAACTTCGAATGATAACAGGAATGTTCTGTATCTACACTGTCTTCTTCGAGAGCCACTAGCCATATGTGACTGCTTAGTACTTGAAATATGGCGAGTGTGATTAAGGTAATGAATATTTGATTTTAAGCTGAATTCATTGAAATGTAAAGAGCTGTATGTGGTTGGTGGTGCCTTATTGGACAGTAAAGCATGGGCGGAGCCCTTGACGTCATTCTTTGGCGAAGGGGATGCAGAGGCTGGGAAGGTTACTGAAGGCGAGGGGGAACCATGCCAACTTAGTAAGAGAACAGAGAGAGTTCCATGATTGTGTGTGCAATATTGCTCTAGTTTTATACAGCAACGAAAACGATGTATTAATATGCGCCTAGGGAAAAAAGAAAGGAAGGGAACATATCGCACGGTAATGCCATTTTGAGTAGGTCCCTGCGTAGCACAATCTTCTATTCCCATGCCATTAAAAAAACATGACTCAAAAACAGTAATTTATCGTAGCTGATTAATGAATAATGGCTTTCACTCTGAAACTTGGAAAACTACTGTCATAATGATTAATGATATAGAAATATATTCATATTTCCTAAGGGAATATTTATAGATACATATATGGGGAGCGTGGTGTCGCCATACGATAAACACTGGAATGCAAACCACAAAGTCTGCCTTTCAAGTCTGCCGGCCACTCCATGGAAGAAAGATGAGGATTTCTTTAAATCCCGCAAAGATTTAAAGCCTCCAAAACAGGGTCGCTATGAGTCAGAACTCACTTGACGGCACTTGATAGCAATATACGTATACACACACACACATATGGCGCTGTGGGTGTGGCACTGGTGGATTCAAACTGCTGATCTTGCAGTTAGAAACCAAATGCCTAACCCGCTATGCCACTAGAATACGTTCTCTCTCTCTCTCTCTACACACACACACACACACACACACACACACACACACGAGCTCTGGTATCGTAGTGGTTACGAATTGGACTGCGAACCTCAGAGTCAGCAGTTCGATACTACCAGCTGTTCTATGAGACAAAGATGAGGCTTTCTGCTCCCATAAAGATTTACAGCCTCTGAAACCCTGTGTAAAGTCGCTATGAGTCGGAACTGACACCACGGCACATAACAACAACAACATACACATACATATACACAGTTGTTGTTAAGTGCTATTGAGTCAGTTTCCAACTCATAGCAACCCTGTTCAAGGTTTCCAAGGAGCAACTCGTATAATTGAACCACAAACATTGCAGTTCTAAATGACCTCTGACCTTGAGGTCCAGTGCTTATCCTACAGCTCCTCGGAAACTCTATATAGGGTGGCTATGGGTTGGGATCGACTTGACGACACTCAACAACAACAATATGTATATGTGTGTGTGTGTGTAAATATATACATATAAATAAGTAAAGTTAAGGAGCTCTGGTAGCGTAGAGGTTATGTGTTGGGCTGCTAATCTCACGATCAGCAGTTCAAAACTACCAGCTGTTCTGTGGGAAAAAGATGAGGCTTTCTGCTCCAGTAAAGATTGACAGCCTCAGAAACCCTGTACAGGGTCGCTCTGAGTCAGAACCGACTCCACAGCACATAACAACAACAACAACAACATATATATTGTTGTTGCTAAGTGCTGCTGAGTCAGTCTTGGCTCTCAGTGAACCTGTATAGTGTTGTCCAAGGAGCACCTTGTTGGTTTGAACCATCGACCTGTGGCTGACATTCCAGTGCTTACCCTATAGCACTTCAGTAGGATTCAACCCTGTCTCTCCATATATATATATACATACACACACACACACACACACACACATATATATATACACATACATATATATACACACATACATATATATACACACATACATATATATACACATACATATATATACACACATACATATATATACACATACATA